CACACACACACGCGCGCGCGCGCACACAAGGAAACAAATCCACTCTAACAAAGCAAAAGCAGAAGAAAAGAGAAGAAAAAAATGGAAAACTGGGTTTAGCTCAGTCTTTGATCCTCAATGTAGAAATTGAAGTCCATGCGAATTCATGCTATATAACTATATTGATCAGGCTAAGTCTACTAACGGTTAGCAGTCCGTTGAAATTATCATAAAAACTCAAGTCAGAAACCAAAATTTGTTGCGCAGACATGTACATAGTGATCCTGAATTTTGTTTCTTCTACTATTCCAGTGTTGTTTATCCTTATTAATTGCCACATTTTTCGGTCAGGGAAATCATGGAAAATTATGCAGATATAGTATTTGCGAACAGTGAAGAAGCAAGAGCTAAAATTCCATTTCTGCTACAAGGTACCTGAGCCATTTTGTCCCTTTAGTTTCCATCACAAATGGGCCTAAAGGTTCTTACATTGGTGTGAAGGGGGAGGCTATCTATATTCCTGTCACCATGCCTGTAGATACTTGTGGTGCAGGGGATGCTTATCCATCAGGTATTTTTTTCAGAATATTGAGGGTGTCTCATTTGAAAAGCAGGGGTTCCGTAGCAGCTAAGGTTGCACCTGTAGTGGTAGGGCAACAAGGTACTAGGCATAAGATACGAGATGCAATTGGGTTGGCAGAAGTCATTTTCATCCCATTGCAGGGACCTAATTTTTTGGTCTGATATAGGTCCGATCAGATTTCCAGCTTGTAATACTCAAAAGGTGAGCTTTGACATCGGTTTAGTGGTTATCGCATTAGTTTTATATTCTCACATTCTTCGCTCTAGAGTTTGTACAGTGATATTCATTGTAATTATTCACGTCGTTGGTTTAATCAATAATGGATTCAACAAAAGATTTAAGGAATTTGAACTTGCTTCAGTTTTACATCTTTTTCCTGTGTATGCGGATTGATCTCCGCAATGGTTGGGGTCATTCATGGTTCTATCTTACGATATACCATCAGTATGCTAATCTCATTTTCCAGTCACAGAGCACTGAAATTTGAGTCGCACAATAAAATGTGTAACGCCATCCTTACATTAATAGCATTAGTTAATCCTTACTACAGAGCATTTTCCCTTCGATATTCATCAGATTTTGGGATTGTTGAGGAATGGTAGATGAACTTTCAGTCTGAAAGCCATCTGTACTAGCCTGGTGAGTCAACTGTGTGCTTGTACATCTTAATTATCTCAGTAGACATAATAAGCTCAGTTTTATCAATGGCCAAGCAAGTAAACGAGTTTGGGGCAGTATTTCAGCTTTCCACATTTTTTGGGCGAATCTAGATTATAAGCAGAGACCATAAGTTTTTTTTTGGAAACTTCCAGGAAGCGCGTAGTCAGTATAGCCTCTGCCCTTCAGGTGAGCACTCTGTGCGTATTGGGTAAAATCCCCACTGTGTAATAGCCTGCAAACCACACAGAAAATGTAAATTGTACTAGATAAGCCCTGTGCGACATGCTCAAACCAGAAGACATTGAGGGGATCGGTCTCAGGTCATCTGTATGGATGACCACCCCGAAACCAAATGTTACTAAGACTTTTGCGTAAAGGAGCGAATGCTTTCACTATTAACCATTGTACATAAATCAAAATAGACGTGACAAATGCTGTCGCAACCATAGAGTAGGCTATGTAATTTAAACAATGTTATTTATAACCTATCATCCTACTTAAATTAATCGACAAAAAATTGGGGGAACTTCAATAATTCCGTCAACAACAAGGAGATTTTTGTAATTAATAAAGACACGACAATATATTGTTCTTAATTAATCATCGTTGATAATTAAATAAATAAAGAAATCTAATATTTCATCAACTGCAAGAGAGGATTATATAATTAAAAAAAAAACATTTTTTTTTGCAACAATCACTGTTCATAAATAAAAAGAGAAAAAAGAAAATGAGGGGAAACCTTAAAAAAATCTAGTTCGGACCACCGCGCCAAACACCGTACCTGAAATGTTTAAGGACACGGTGGAGAAATCTATCTTTTTCACAGTGATAAAAATAAATATCATCGCTCTTCGAAGAGATTAAGGAGTTACCAAATAACTGCCAGTCAATAACTACTCCTCTCATTTGCTTCTTTCGGCTATTGTAAAAGATTTAGCGTGAGATTTGTTTCCTGATCTGAAGTTGTAATTTTTTCTTTTCAAGGATAAGACATACTTTCACTATCTTTATTTCCCCATTTTCCTGTATTTGCTTTCTTATTTTGGGGGTTTTCTGGGTTCACTTTCTTTAGGGTTTTGAATTGATATTCCCTTTTAGCACTAGCTGGTTAAGTTTCTGTAGCTTTTATCTTTGTTTTTCGCCCTTTCCGTTGAGTGATTTGAATTAGGGCATCGAGCTTGGTGAAAAGTCGAATTTACTGAAGGTGTTCTTTCATTTGAGCACGTATTTTGATGGGTCCAGAGCTCATTAAGTAAAAAGATCCAATTTTAAACGTTCTCCCTCTTGTTTTTAATCAAAAAAGTTCCTACTTTTAAGTGGTTATTCGCGCCTTTGTACTCTTAGTCCTACTTTTACCTCTTTTGGGTAATTTATTCGGATAGGTGTAATCTGGAAGAGTGTATATCTTGTTGTTCTTTTTGTATGTCAAATCCCTCCATTTTATATGTTTTTTGGTGGTTTTGAGCATATTGGGTCTGTTTCTTCATGGATTTCATGGGAGAAGCTAGTTTTGCTGGAGGGAATATGATCCCCGATAGCACTTCTAATGGTAGTGGCTTCGACAATTGGGGTCCTGGTTTTTCTGACCAGGCTGTTTGGGCTACTGAGGATGATTATAGAGATTGGAACACGGGCCCCTCCTCCGAAACCCCTTCCAGTTCCAATCGATCTGGGAGTGAGCCTCCCCATAAGAAGTCACGGAGCTCACAGGGTGCAGATTCACATGTTACTAGTCGCTCCAAAGCAATTGGAAAGATGTTCTTCAAAACTAAATTGTGTTGCAAGTTCCGCGCTGGGGTGTGCCCTTATATTAATAATTGTAACTTTGCTCATGGTATAGAGGAGCTGCGCAAGCCGCCTCCTAATTGGCAAGAGATAGTGGCTGAACATGAAAGTGAGCACGGAGGAGGAGGAGGAGTTATGTTGGAATCAAGAGAAGAGCACCAGATACCAACTGTGAGTTCTCCTGAGTTGCGTATTGAGACACAAAGGTCCTTTAAAGGGAGGCATTGCAAGAAGTTCTACACTGAAGAAGGATGTCCTTATGGAGATACTTGCACTTTCCTTCACGATGAACAGTCTCGAGCTAGAGAGAGTGTTGCAATAAGTGTGACTCCCACTGTTGGTGGATTTGGTAATATGCTGCTGGAGCAAACCTGAAGCCTTCAAACTGGAAGACAAGAATTTGTAATAAGTGGGAAACCACTGGTTATTGCCCTTTTGGCAGCAAGTGTCATTTTGCTCATGGAGCAGCAGGTATGAATGCATCTTTTGCTTATTTTGTTGGTATAGGAGTTGTGATTTTACTGTATAGAGAGAGTGCTGCAAGTTGATGCTTGTCGATTTCTATTTCTCTCTGGATATTAATCTGCTTGGTTAAATTGTGGTTTGGTGTAAAATGCTCATCACACAAGATGTGTCATAATGTTAAGATGGATTTGTGGTGATACACGTTTAGACAAGATTATAAATAATCACATAAAAAATGTACAAGTAGCACATATAGATGATAAATCGAGGGAAAGTCGTTCTTGATTTATTAAAAAAGAAAAAAATAAGAGGGAGAAAAAGTCAGTTGGCATGGTTTAGCCATGTTTTTTGTAGACCTATGTTGCTCGGATACAGGTAAGTATATCCCTTACGAGTGCGGATATCTCATACGAGTGTGGATTTAGAGGTTAGGATTCGTCATGGTCTAAATTTTAACATACGGGGTTATGGATCTAGGTGCCTAGATAAGTGATGGCATTCATCTAAAAATAATTCAAAATTAAAATAGAGCTACGAGAATATTCTGTGGAAAACTTGCATGCAGCTTGTATAGTGTAGTAATTATGTCTTTTATTAGTTATCAAGTTGTGGGCAGCTAGACACACTCGAAGATTGCGGGATTTCTTCATTCTCCCACAATTTATACAATAAAGTAGTAAACTAGATATTAAAATATAATTAATGTAATTAAAAAAACTAGACATAAAGCGATTTTTTTTACTTTTGATCCAAGAATCACGTGACTATTGATCTTACTCCATGTTTGTCTTTGGTAATTAAAAATGAGTAAAGTACTCCTTATGTTCCAACTTATGTGACGTAGTTTTATTCGTCAGCGAGTTTAAGAAAGAAAGACTTGCAACTTTTGGTCTTAAACATGTCGCAATATTTTTGTGGCTACAAGACCGTTGAAATTTGTGCGTTAAATATGCTATAACATTTGTATGCCTATTGAAGCTTCTTATTGAAGGGCTGTTTGGTTACAGGGATTAGGAGGGTTGTCCCACTATAAAGTTTGGGATTATAATATTCCAGTGTTTGATTGTAGGTGTTAGCTAAAACCAGGATAAAATTTATACCAAAATCATGGGATTATCCATCCCATATGGGTATATGGTGGGATTATCTAACCTAGTTATTATCCTGGTTATGATCTAGGGATAACCTGGTTTTGAACCAAACAACCTCTTAGGTAAAATTAGAAGTTTATAGTTAAGTTGTTTCCAAATATAGAAAGATGTCATTCTTTTTGAAACAAAATATTAAGGAAATAGTGTCGTATAAAATGGAACAGAGAGATTATGTAACTTGTAATGTAAATGTAAAAATAAGAAACTCAACAACAACAACAACCCAATATAATCCCACTTAGTGGGGTCTAGGGAGGGTAGTGTGTACGCAGACCTTACCCCTACCGTTGGGTAGAGAGGTTGTTTCCAAATAGACCCGCGGCATCCTTCCCTCCAAGAACTTCCCATCTTGCTCTTGGGGAGACTCGAACTAACAATCTCTTGGTTGGAAGTGGAGGTTGCTTACCATCAGAGCAACCCCTCTTGTCCTTAAAGAAAGACAACTTAAAGAAAGTAAATTTGAAATCTTAAAATATAAGATTTATGTTGTCATAAACAGAGGCACACTTGTCTCAACACTTGGTTATTCAAAAATCAGTTAAGTACATAACCACCAAACCAAATTAGAATTTCAATATCCACCAAGAACAATGAACATTTGGACATACCTAATAAAAAACTGACAAGCATATTCAAATTAGACACTTGGTAGCCTACTAGCTTTTACTATTCTTCTCCAAAGACTACTGTTACTAAATTCTAATTAGGGTTCATCTGTTGGTAGTTCAATTAAATTATTAGCAGTTTTGCCGATATCAAAACAATTGCCACCTAAATCAACATCAAAATGAAAATGAATAGAAATATTAGAAGGTTATGGAAAAAGGAAAACCACTTATCATGCTTAATAAATTACTGAAGAAAATATCAGATCAAGGAAATATAGACATACCCAAATACCAATAGTTGCTTGGACCACTTCTATATTGTTCCTTTTTGCGGAGATCAAGCGTAAATTATAATGCATAAGAAGTAAATCTTCATTTCTTGAAATATTTAATTAATTTCTTGTGAATCAATAAATAAGTGATTCAATTCCTTTCACAACAAGAGGATGAAGTTGGCTGCGAATGTAACTCATAAGCCAAGCTTTGCAAAAGTGGAGCAGAGGCAATATGATTTGCGCACCAAGAAAGAGGCTCTTCATACATCATAGCCGCATTCACATGAAGCTTTCTAAAATATCACTCCTAGTACAAAATGCTCCAAGGTACTTGATTCAATTCATTTGAATTTTAATGTGTCTTTGTAAGAATTGATCCTATTCAATGAAATTCTCTATCTTCATTAGGAGCATATCTTCG